TTTAAGCAGATCAGGTAGAGAAATGTATCAGATGTTTGAAACAAAGCTTTACAATGCAGATTTACCTGCTATTCACATCATTGCTGGCATAAACTTTATGAACTCTCTCTGTGACTAAAATCAAAACCATCAAATGTCACAGATTTTGCCATTTTTTCCTTCTGGATCAAAGGCTTTTACACCCAAAACCAAGAAATTAATCTAAACTTCCTTCCCAAATGATCCTGCAAAAGAGTTACAATGAAAAGGCAGCAGAGCAGAATCCTGCCTTTGCTGAAAGAAGTAACAAAGAGCTGGATTAACAATAATCTTGAGACATAAACCATAAAGCTAATGGAAAATAAGCTACTTGATGCATCAGTGGATACTAGGCTACACAGGTAAGAGTTTGTCTGTCCTGTATTAAGAAAGAGGATAAAATTTATCTGCAATTGTGAATGGCTCCTGAAAAAGTCTTTGTGTCAACATGTCCTTTGAAACATCAGTTTAAGAGCTCTCCTTGCCCAAATTATGCCTTCATTAGGGCAAGAATGTGATGTTCTTATGTGCTTACTTGGCATAGGAAGTAAGGAGAGGAAAGTAGTAATGCTGCTATTGAGAATTTATCACTAAGAACAAGCAAGGGCTAATACATTACAAACTAGCTAGTTCCCAAAGAAACGTCATTTTCTTCCTCCAAGGAAATTTGCCGCTATGCCAAGCAATTTATGAAGACTGTCCTGTTTTATGGACAAACAGGATTATAACTGTTGCATGAAGTTTAACAATTAGCGCCCTGTCTACACTACAAAAACCTAACCATGCTGTAAGCAAACCAGGGATCATTAACAGAACTACAATGACAGAAGAAACTTAACATGGATTTTCATCCCCAAAACAACTAAAATGATGCTGCTTTACATTACAGTCACTTTGGTAGTGCCTACTTCCACCATAAGAATTATTCTGTAAACCATAAAACTGCAGAGCTCATACTTCAGTGGAATATGGACTTATATAGAGCTCCTGTACAGATCCCACTCCATGCATCCTTTCCTCATTTACAGGTATCATGCCCCACTAAAAGAGAATTAAACGTTGTCTTTGGGACATTTCTTTCAATGGAAAACACTCCAGGCAGAAAGAACTAGCCTTGCTCTTTGCCTGAGCTTGCTGATAAATGACTGGCTACTTTGAAAAAGCTATTGGATCTTAAACACTGAAAGGAAGCCTAACTTTTAACAGTGTCAGGATGAAAAAGGTTGTTTTTAAGCTTAAAACATCATTATGTTCATTCAAGTATTCATAACTAGAATCATTTTAGTCACTGTATAAGCCAAAAAGGTGGCATATTAGGAAAATGCACCCGTTTGATGCCTTCCCCAAAAGCAAGGAGTGACGAAAAGCAGTCAGCCTGGTTTTAGTACTGTTACATGAACCACAATGGGTGCCTTGTCCTATCTGTCTTCTCAGGCTATCTTTTGAGGGACAATGATCAGAAAAGGTTAGTCTCATTGTAGCAGTAGCTAGGGGAGTGGGGTGGTGAGAAAGAAGTCCTTTGCTAACGAATATTCTCAGCACAAGAAATCAGCTCCCTGTTGCAGATGTAAACTGAATGACACACAAAAGACAGAAGACTAAATTTTGCTCACAAGCCTGGGACTGAGCTGATGGTCAAAGTCTCCTGCACCCGATGAACACCACTCACAGTTGGAAACCCTCTGCAGGCAGGTAGCTACCCCTGCGAGCAAAGTCAGGCCTCTTTTTTTTATTATCTGCAAGGTCAGGAAGCAGATTTACCTCCTTCTCGCCCAGCACTCCCTGTGTTAATGTCATTCTTCAAGCAGGCAAACCACCCAGCACTCCATCTCTCTTTTATTTCTTCCTCCCCTCCTGCATTTTATGGGACTTCCAAATGAAAATGGGGGAGAGGATGGCAGGTTAGAGGAAGCCTGCAGAGGATTCTTCCTCCCCAGATTAGGATATAATTGTATTCCTAGTGAGTCCCTTCTGGTTGCATTCGGTCTTTCAGATGAATGTTTCATCAATATGATTAGGATCACATCCCTCAGTCTCGTCTATTTACACAATCAGTTGTGACAGCTCGGAGTATAGTACTCCCTAAAGGAAATATAAGATGCCACCGTATCATTTTATTCAAATCATATTTTGTACTCTGCATTTTCAGCCTAATGTCATTCTCCCTTGGATTACATATTTGTGTTATCCAGCAAGCATTAAACCCTTTCTAATAAGGAGTATGGTAATATTTGTATTAGCCATACTCATATTATTATGAACAGGGCTATGGAGATTTTTATAAGGGGAGGAGTGGGCTCTGGATGCCTCAAGAGAATGAGGAATTGGGTTTGTGTGTACAAAAAAAAGTGTGCGAGTAAAAATAATAACAACAACAATAATGCACCGGGGACAGCAAACCCCAATTCTATGGGGTGGATGGGGGTGAGGGAAGTGCCGAAGCGCCTCATCTCCCTCGTCTCAACCCCCTCACTCCATTTTCTTCCCAGAGGCGGTGCCCCGCAGCCCCTTAGCCAATAATCCCGGCGGGAAGAGGCATTTCTGAGGTACAGCGGTACCACAGGAGGTACCATCCGGGGCCTGTTCCGCGCTAAGGAGACCCCAAGGCAAAGGTAGTAGCTGAGGGGGGCTGTAAAAATAACCGTTCACAGGGAACAACCCCCGTTCGTCCCCCCCTGTTAACGCCGCGCTCCCCTAAATGGGAGGTGGAAACAAGCGAGCAGGTGATGAAAAGGTGGCTTTGAGGAACCAACGTAGTAGCAGAAAATTAGGACCGAGAATAAAACCCCATCAACGTTACTCGAAAACATACTCGGAAAATACCAGCTCCTTTCTTTCCGGAGCGCTGAGGCCGCCGCGCTGGGGACGTAGTCCCTTCTCCTGAGGGGGTTGGGGTGATACTGTCGGAAGAAGCAGCGTTTCAGGGTCGTTTCGTTTTCCCGCCCAGGTGTGAAGCACCGGTGATGCAGTTTGAGGCGAGCAGCAAGGGACGAAGTTTCGTTGAGGGAAAAAGAAACCTCTCAGATGGTTGATCCCTATGTGCCGCTGCGAAGAGGACAGGCGGGAGAGGCGGTGAGGTGCCAGGTGTGCTTTAACGAAAAACGGCCCCAAAACCCCAGTCTTTGGCGAGGAATGGTCTCAATCCCACGTCTCTGCTGCCTTTATTGCCCCGCCGGGCGCCCAATTGTTAAAATCAAACAGGAGCCCTCCACGCAGAGCACCGAACCGCTCGGTCTCAATGGGGAAATACTCCCGAGAACTGTTAAGTCGCGGAACGACCTCGGAGTGTTACACCGGTGTCACCCTATTTCACGGGCCCCGCTGTGCGTGAAAGGAGGAGCGGAGGCCCCGGGGTGGACAGACCCGGCGACACCTCTGCCCGCACAGAGCGAAGCCGAAACGGGATCCGTATTTTCCTTAAAGTAGGTTTATGCAGCCTCACCGGGCGAGTTTACAGTTCACCTCTCGCTGTACAGCACCACAGTGGTGTAAATAACGATTTCTATTTGTTTGTGTATGTGTTTTCTCTCTTAGACCCCTCTTTTCCGCCGTCCCCTTCCAGCTGTTGTGCAAAGCCTCACACATCTTACGAGAGCTACTGAAAGGGCAGGATGAAGCCTGCGGGCGCGGTGCCTCACACTGTTTCCCGGCACTCGCCCGCGGGTGCCGGGGCTGTGGAAGAAGGGGCAGTCACCTTCGGGTCTCCTATCCCTCCAAACCCACGATAAAAAGCCCGCCGAGGGGAGGCGGGGTTCTCCACCCAGAGCCTGCTGTTTGGGTCGGTAAATCGCATTACGAAGCGAAGTGCGAGGGTAGTTAACTTTATCTTCCGTTAATGTAAACAAATAAGAAGCATTCAGATCCTTGATCTTTATTTAAATATAGAGTTGTTTATCAGTGTCATCCTACGAAGATTAATTAGATACCTCGATTCACAATTTGGCGTCTGACACCCCATTTTAGGAATGCATTATAATCACAAGGTGTTAATTGGGGCCAGCCAGGCATTTACGTTTCTATTAAACAGTGTGAGGACTTTTCACAAGTATTAAGTTCCTTTTTTAACCGCGCGGTGCAAAAATATACAGCTTTTAATAACACACCGCAGCGGAATTGTGCTCCGAGGAGCTGTGTAATCAGTGTTTGCTGCCGGCATGCCACCTCAACCCGCCTTGCCAGGGGGCTGTAGAGGGAGGGGATATCCCATTACAGGAAACAAATATCCCGTCCCTACAGTCGCTTAAAAATCATCGCGAATCCCCTTCTACCCTCCGATTGATGTGGCTCTTGGGCCAGTGTGAAAGCTGCCGGGACACCAGCTTGTGTCGCTTGCAGAGCCGGAGTCTTGTAGCCAAAGAGAAGAAATAATAGAAAGCTCCTCGGAAATCCACCACTCTCCGCCCCGGAGATGAGGAAGAGCCTCCCGGGGCCGTACCAGCACCTCCTGATCGCGTTATCTCCTCCCGGGAGGGCGCCGGTCTGAGCCCCTGGTTTATTTTGTTTGCAGCCGCGCATCGCTAACAGTTTAATCCCTTTACTGCCTGCATATCCTCACGAAAGGTCCCGCTGCCGCGGGAGCCCGCATTCAATCGCGCTGCCGGGAGGGGCTTTCTCCCAAGATAAGCGGGGCAGGGGCATTTCTGACCCGGTTCCGGGAAACGATGGGGCCGGCCCCGCTGCAGCGGGGGGAGGCGAGCAGAGCTCACAGGGCGCTCCCCGGGGCGAGGGTTGAGCTCACATCTCACCCACAGCCTAGCAGGGCAGTGGGGGTGGCAGGGGAAAAGAGGCACGGTTGGACTTCGAACGAACCTGGGAGCTCAAAGCTTAAGGGGGATACACAGCAGAACTAGATCAGACCACAATAAGAGGGGCATTGCAAGGGATGGCTAGATTTAGAAACAAATCAGGCACTATGCTCCCAACCTTCCCCCCAGGCTGGGACACCCAGCAGAAGCAAAGAGGCAGGCAGCCACCCTCACTGCTATCCCTGGCACCAACCACATTTATTAAAAATTACTACTATATACGTAGAAAAGGAAAACACGAGGATGCTTTGTTGAGGGAAGTTTGTGTGCCAGTGCTCTAGAGCATATTGGTTTTAACCAGCTGAAACTATATGCAAGAAGAGTAGGTTAAGTTACATCACTTCCAGTTTTGTACAAGGCAGCTGAAAAAGTCACTTTACAGACACATAAATAGAAATCTCCATGTTCTTTGCAACACTTCATAGCTAGGTTTGATTAACCAAAAAATGCATTTTGAAATTCAAAGCACCACTGGGGGCCCTTCTGACTAAACAGCTATTGATCAACTATTTATACATTATTCCACAATATTCTACAGTGTACCTAGACAAAACAACTGTACACTATTTTTGGCCACCTCGATAAAGGTTAGGCTTTGGGGATGGAGGCTTTTTTCTTAATGCAAGTTCTAAACTAAGGAAAAAGTCAGATTCTTTCATTGTAACCCCATCACTAGCAACAAGACCTTTAAGTTAAAAACCTGCCTGGCAAGCAAGCCTTATTTTGGTCACCTTCTGATAAAGCAAGCCTTTGCTGAGCTAAATTCCAGCTCAGCCAACTGTGCTGCAGACAGGGATTGAAGAAGCCAGCTCAGTCTAAAGCAGAACATAGCATTTGTGCAGTTCCCTGTACCCAAACCCCCTTTTATGAGAGGGACAGGCAGGGAAGAAAATTAAATGTGGGACACTATCTCCCTATTTCCTCACTCAGGAGTGCATAGATTTGATCGGGCCTCTGAGCTGAGCCAAACAGTACACTTTAGTGTCTCCAATAAATAAACCACATAGTAAAAATCTAGGCTTCTGCTTACAGCTTCTGCATGTGTTTCTTCTAAAACAGGGGAAGAATTCTACCATAGGTCACTCTTTCCCTACTTTGTTACCTGCAGTAAATCAAAAAGCTTTGGCACCTTCTTTAGAATTGCACACAATTCAAGGTGGAAGGCAAGAGTCTTTTCTACCATTGTAATGCAAAAGAAAAACAAACCCAAGGCCACCCTGAAAAAAAACCAACCACCAATTTGGCCAATTGGAATAAAAGGATGCTTTAAGAACTAGTATAGAATGCATAGTAGCCCATGCCTTTTGAAGTGTCTTTGTTATAGTCCTCAGCATTAATGTCCTCACATTTCATAGTAGGGGAATTTTCATTGCTGGAAGTGCTAGGGGAGAGTCGCCTTCTCTTACAAGCACCAGTGTAGACTCCAGAATCATTTGAATCTAGAGACTTTATGGAAGGTGGAGTCTCTATCCAAGATGAGCCGAGTTCTTCTTTTACCTTCTCCTTGGAAAGCTGGTCTTCAGAGAAGCCTGGAGGACTTGTTCTGGAGGTCCAGGATAACCCTGTTGTCATTTTTCGCTGGTAAGATCCCCTGCTCCCCCAGCCTGCCATGGATGGAAATGTTGGGTCAGGGTAGTACCCCAAAGCATGGGATGTCTGAAGGGGAAGGGATTTAATGCTGTAAGGGAGCAAGGTGCTAGAAGAATACTCTGTCTCATAGGAGTTCATGTCCAACTTGTTGGCACTGGGCTGCTGTACGGGTGTAACAAACCACCGCTGAGGGCTGGCCACCTCTTCATTCTGCTGTGGGGAGAGCAAGCCATTTGCCTGAGGGACTGTTCTCTCACCATTGTAAAACCTGGCTGGGGGCAGGTTGTTGACAAACTGTTCTTGGAAGAATGGTTGCACACTGTAGCGGGCACCAGGGACAATCTGGTGGGATCTAGGAGAATCCGTGGGAGATGGAGTTAATCTGTCATTTTCTGAAGCTGTGTACATGCTACAACATAAAAGAGAAACACTGAGCATTGTTCTTTATGATTCCAGTATGACAGCAAAAGACAAGCACGAAGTTATTTATTACAGCTACATTTATCTGGATGGCTGTTCATTTTATGAACAGTTGCCTATCCAATTCAGTTGTTTGGTTTTCCTAGACCATATAAGATTTCTAGTATTACTGCTACAAGCATATACAAGCAAACACATTTTAAATGAGGTGCAGCAGCTTTCTCCCAGAAACAGTACTTGTAGATGTACAGACCCAGGTTTCCAAAGGCCATTTGATGCTAGGAAGCGAGCATCAAGCACCTTCACTACCAACAATTTTGAAAAGCTATGAAGATATACGGTACACTACTGCCAATCTGCAGGCCAAGATTCCTAGCAAAATTCAGAAGCCTGCCAGAAGACAGGTCATCAAGATAAAATAAGAAACTATTCAAACAGGCTATTGGTTTAGACATTTAACATTTTTGAAAACAGAAAAGTTAGCAAAGCTGCCAGAAGTAGTATTGTTACTCTTAACTCAAGTAGCATCTAAAGAAAAACTCTTCCTTGTGCATTTTGGGCCAGAATCATGCCTTACAGGCAGAGGCAATTGCAAGAGAAGACAGAAATATACTTACGAGTCATAGTTGTCTCTGAAGCCTTTTGCAAAGGGATTATGGTCGATTTTGAGCTGTGTAATCTAAAAGTGAAAGCAAAATATATTAAGACAAGATGTTGAATTCGAGACAAATGCATGCTTAATTGTCATTTTATATATCCATGCTTACATCAGTGTTTTGATACGCTGTAACTGCTATGAACTGTGTTTCAGGAAAAATAAATGTTTGAGTCTTTGAGGAATCATTCACATCTTCAACACCGTCTTCAGTCACTTCCACAATGTGAAGCCGAGGCTGGTACTTGTGTAGAGATTGCAGTACTATCATCTAAAAGGAACCACGGAAGACACAAGATCTTTAGACAAAGTAGGTCTAAGATTTTATAGCCTAACATTTTCTTCCAAGTTCTGAATTGGTAATTGAGTAATTTTAACTGTTACCGAGAGGAGATTATTCACAGCGTTTAGCCCCATTTAACTAGGTTACTAATATGCTAAAATCTGTGAATGAGGGAAATCAGGGACCATCAAGAACACTCCCACTTTTTGAGCAATTCCAGAGATAGATGTATTGGCTGAAACCAAAGAGATTCACACATCTATTTCTGATCATTCTAATTGTCCTAAGAAGCAAAAAAATAAAGCAAGATGTAGGATTCATTTCTAGAAGGGTACAACTCACAAGAGCAGCGATCTAGCAGCCCGATCAAATACTGTAAACCCCGGAAAGTCAGGTATCCCCAAGAGTCGCCAAGATCCCCTCCAGCCGGTCTCCCCCCTGCAGCCCATATACCTGTGCGTTGTTGTTGTTAGCACCTTTGTTGTTCGTTAGCTTCAGCTTCCCAAAAGAGATTTCCTGTCTCATCCAGTGAGCCCCGGTGTTGGGCGACTCGGGGTGCACGTACACCTTGTTGCCTGGGGAAAACAAGCCAAGACCGTAAAGCTCCGGCCGGGCACAGCCGCTGTTCTGAGCGCCTGGGCGGTAGAACCTCGGCTCCTCCAAAGCCGCTTCTCCCGCACAGCCTCACCCCACAGCGGCACGGAGCCTTTAAAAGCACAACTCTTCCCGCAGCAGGATTCCGGGATGGGGAAGAGCTTACAGAGAGGGGCGAAACGGGAGCCCTTTTGGTGAAGCTCACCCGTGGAGAACCAGCGCCTACCTTGCATGTTGTTGTCAGCTTTGCCGCAGGTAACCCACTTGCCCCCCTGGAAACGCCAGTGGTTGGGGTCCGCCAACACCACCTCCACAAAGACGTTATAGTGGGCCGTGGGGTTGAGGCCGGTGATATTAAAGCTCAGGAAAGGAAACATCCTCCTGGAGAGGAAAGGAAAAGCGCACGGCATGTGAGGTGGGCCGGGGAAAGGGAGCAAGCTTTGAGTGCAGCTGCAGGCGGCGGCGGAGTGCCCCAGCCTTATCGGCACCTAGGAGATCAGCACAAAGCCCAGCCGACCCCCAGGCATCCTCAGGCCGTAGGCATCTCCTCCCCAGGGGAACGGGCAAGCGCTCCCCAGCACAGATCACCAGCCATCCCCCCGTTTACGACCCACCCGCTGAGCACTTACCGGCCCTGCTTGGTGATGATCATCTCCGTCTGGTGCCGGTGGAACTTAAGCCAAAGGGGGCGGTTGCAGAGGAAAACCTGCGCCCGCAGCCCGGGGCCGGCGGCCGGCACCCCCAGCGCCCCAAGCCCGCCGCAGGAGCCCGACGCTGCCGAGTAAGGCCCGTACAGTGGTGTGCCGGCCGCCGGCTGCCCGTACTGATACCCGCTGCCTCCGCCGAATTGCGCCCGGCCGCCGGGAGGGCAGACGGTGCCGGCGAAACCGCCCGGAGACAATACCGAGCCGTAGGGGTAGCGCGGCCCTCCGGGCGGCTGGTAAACGGCGCCGTGCTGCGCCGCCGGCGGGTAGGGAAAGAGGGCGCAGGGCCCCCCTAGCTCGGCCCCGGGAGGCCCGGGAGACTGCAGGTAGTAGCGCTCGGGGCTGAGACTGTCCATGGGATAGCGGGGGCCGGCGGCGGCAGGGGGCAGCTCCTCCTCCCCGCAGGGGGTGGCCTTGCGGCCGTCCGGCTTCGGGGCTGCGAAGGGCGGCTCGCCCGCATCCGCCTCGCCCAGCATGGCGGTGGCCGATCCGAACTTCTTGGGCGTCTTGTCCATGTCGAGTCGTTGTGGCGAGCCCGGCCGGGGAGGGCCGCGGGACGCACCGCCTGCCCCGGTCCCAGCTCCAGTCCCACCGCCGCGCCCGCTGCCCTCCAGCGGGTAGAAGGGAGCTCCCGGCAGGGTCGCCGCTGCCGCCGCCAGCAGCGGCTCGCCCAGCTGCATCCTCGGTGGGCAGTCCGGTGAAGAGCACTCTATGATCCGGTACCGACACAGACCCTAACCCCGACCCGCGGCCGCGCAACACCGTGGCAGGGCTCCGCCGAGCCAATTTATACCGACGCGCCGGGCTTCTCGGACCGTCGGGGAGGGGCTTGCGCCGGGCTGTCTCCTTGCCGCCCTCCACCCCTGCCGGCCCATTGGCTGGGCTGTGTGACACTAATTTAATTAGACAGCTACTAATTGGAACAAGTCACCTGTGACTCTGTGTGTGCCCTCCCTCTGCGGCCCCTCTACCCGCGGCCGGCTACCGGAGGGGCTCCGGCCTGTTCCGCTCTGCTCGGAGAGAGGGCACCCGCCCGCACACCCCGCGGTGGCCGCAGCGGAGGGACCGAATTCCCTTCCCCCCAAAAAAAGACATCTCGCCGAGGTGGCACCGTCCTCCCGGGCGCGCAGCCGCTCGGAGGGGCACGGAGGGGGCAGAGGATCGAGACTGGGAGAGAGGGACAGGAGCGAAAGGGAAAATGGAGAGCAGAGCTGATGCCAGCACCGGCATATGACAGGGACGGAGGGCGGCGATGTGCCGGGACAGGGCGAGTGGCACTAGCTCCTGCCATCCCCTCGCCGATCAAACAGTTGTGCCCAGCAGCCGCCTTACCCCCTCTCCGCTTCCCGGGCATCATCGTTATGGTGGGGGGTTCACGTTCCACCTTATCGGGGACACTCTTGTGGGAAGCTGCGGGCTTGGGTCGCGTTTTCGGTTTTCAGGAACTCGGTAGTCGGTTTCTCGCAACCCGCGTTTCCTTTCGGCATCTCCCACCAGGAAGGCAGAATTGTAATTCAGGGCCAGATCTGTTTGGCGCTTTCTCTCAAAAGAGCCTTTTGCCCCAGAGGGTAAGAGGACAGCGCTCGATAAGGTGTAGGTGCCCGTGCGATTTTGAGGAGCGGACAGAGCCTTCCCGAACTATTTGCGGCTATCCGCAGCCCCTCGCCCTCCGCTCGCCGCCAGCCCCCCTCGCAGAGACCACGGCAAAAACCTGCCTCTTCCTCACGGCTAAATCTCGAACCAGGCTCGCCGGGCGGGCAGGATTTCGTTGTCTGAAGGAAGGACCGGGCCGGGCTGGAGCAGCTCCGCTGCCGGCCCCGCTCGCTCCCGCCGCACCGGGGCAACTGAAAGAAATCGTGGACAATTGACGGCGGCCGCCAGCGCCGGGGCAGGGGCGCAGGAGGAGGGGGCGGGACGCGGCTCTTGAGCCCTTTGGGTGCTAGCACGGTGGCGGTGGGTGTCTAAAGAGGCAGGGGACAGGCACCGGCGGCTCAGGGATTTTGGGGGCTCAGTTCCTACCCCCGATAGAAGCAGAGAGAGACGGAAGAACCAGCTGCCGCTGTGCCCACCTCCGGATGCGGCCACACTGGAGGGAGTCTGATCACAGCTTGCATCGAAATACCACCGGCAGCCCTAAACACCCATTCTCTTCGGGGTAACATTTGGCCCAATGTTTGAGTTGATCTCAACCGACCAAGTAAGACAACCAAAATGTGTCGGAGAAGCCAGGCGCTCCGGCATGAAGCGAAGCGGCCGCTGCGCGCTGCTGCTCTTTTCACGGACTCCTCTTGGCATGGGGTTTGCCACTTACCGCTGGGCGAGGAGGGCAGCGGAGCCCGGCCGAGCAACCCTGCTTTCAGGGAAAAACCAAACGAGAATCATCCTGCCATCCGCGCCCCCTCCCGCTCCGGCAGCTCGCTCCCTTGGGCTCTGCCTTTCCTGTGCTACGGCAGAGAGATAACAAAGGTACTGCATAGGGTTTAAGAGAATTAATTTTACGATATTTTATACACTGGAAGTGTCCCATAATTTAAAACACTCTTGCAGGACAGGTGCCTTTTAGGTCAAAGCTACTGCGGGGTTTTTCCTCCAAAACTCTGCTAACCTCGTGTTTAACAGGCAGAAAAGCTTTCGCTGTCACTTAGCTTCCCTGTGGATTGAAGGGTCCCCGGGTGGGGGTCAGGAAAACTCCCGGGAAAGGGAGCACTTTCCAAAGAATTCGAAATAAAGCCTGTATTAAGGGTCTCCCTAACGACTGAATGATTCATCCAGCTCCCTCCCGATTCGGGGTCATTTCCAACTCGGCTCGGGCGAGCAGCCGCCTGGCCTCGGTCCCTGTCGCGCACCCGCTGCTCCCGGGCCCCGGCGGCGGTGGAAGGGGAGGCCGGTACTGCCCTGTCGGGAGTCTCGTCGGGCAAAGGCTTCCCGAAGACCTGCAGCGTTTTTGCTCTGTGCAAGGGCTTGGGAGAGCTGCGTGTAACCCAGGAGCTTGTTCACTCACTCTGTGTGTGCGAGAAGAACTGTAATCCCGCAAATTAAAGTCACCACCGCAGCCACCAACCAAATTCTTGGGACTCAGTGCTTGTCATTCCCGAAGCCCGCAAATCTCCCCTCCCTTCTGGTAGGGGAGGCAACGGTGGGATTGCTTCCCCCTGCCTCCTGCAAGCTGGCTCCATCATTGCTCCTTGTCCCGGACCTCCTTGGGTCCGGCCAGGGAACCTCGCCGTAGCGAGCTGCAGGATTTCTCAGTGTTGTGTGGGACCGAAGATTTCAATATGGGTCCCACAACCCTTTAGATATTACCTTAGAGAGAACACTGCAGAAACAGTAGAGACTGGTGAAACAGAAAGGAGCACGTTAGGTTCATTAATTTCCTAAAGTAACCCCCAACCCACAGTAAGAATGTTGAAAGAAAATATAGGTCTTTGAAGGGTTACGGATTATCGTGTTTTGTTGGGCTTTATTCAGATATTCTCCTGGGGTTTGTTCAAATTAGGGGCGTCTCTCACTCTAAGAAAGCTGCTCTAGAAGAGCTGATTTTCTGCAGCCCAAGTTACAGTGGAGACACACTGCACTGAGGTATTTAATCCTTTGCGTTTGGGCTGGGATTGAGCCCTTTTCTCTTTCATCAGAAGTCAGCATACTGGAAAACAGCCCCCTGCTTCAACAGATTGCTTGGACTTGTGAGACTGAACCTATTCAACTGAAGTACCCTGCTCAGTACAGCCTGAGAGGGGAAAACGAATTGGGAACTGTAAAATTTATCAGGCTGTTGTAGACCTGTATCGACATGTATATGGAAATCCATACCACCATTTATAGTAATATGTGTCCTTTATCATAGAATCATAGAATTGTAAATATGGATATTTAAGCACACGCCACTGGGTCTGTATGGACACCTTAACATTTTTGGTTATCAGAATCATCTGCCACACTGTTCTGTCACTCTCCCTCTCCTGAAGTCCTGCTGTTCCCATGGCAGCATTGACAGGTATTTCTGAGTATAGTGTTCAGTTTCTGAGGTAATTTTTTCCATTGTCTGGTTTTGCTTAAAAACGAGTTGCCAGTTTCTGGATGTCCCCTCCAGTTTGACAGCATCTGGTTCCCAGAGGGCTCCAAGACGTTCATTTTTATGCCAAGTTTAGGCTGGGATTTTGCACGTTTTCTGTTTCTCCAGTCATTCAGCCTGGCTTCCTCGGGGGCCCCCCCCCCCAACCTCCAACTCCACACCGAGTATCTGGATCAGCAAATGAAGGAGGATACTTTTCTACTTTTCAAGGCATTCATGGGACTTCCACTCTTCCACCAGTTTTTAAATGTTACTTTTTAATTCACTAAAGCTGAGGTTTTCCAGATAAGGCCGATCATAGTGAGCACTTTCTTTTTATGGCTGTCGATGCTCGGAAAAATCAGGGAGGTATTAATATTCCTGTTCATGGCTTGGCATTTCAGCTTGTTGCTTAACTTCAGGGGCTGTTTTTATCAAGGAGTCAGCTACACTCTTCCAGTGCTCAGGTTGCTTCATCTGGCAAATACAGACAACAGTCATCTCTTTAGTGGGGATGTCAGGAGACTGAATTAATTGAAAATGCTTTTTATTTTCTGATGAAAGGGAGGTCTGCTAAAGCTGCAAAGACTGTCAGTCCGTTTCAGATTATGCCAGGTGGGATTTCAGTGTGCAGATGTATGCATTCCTGGATACAAGTACAGGTTTAAAATCTACTTTGAGGTTGTACAAATTCGAATCACAAAGGGTTAAAAAAATAGAGACATCTGTTGTTGAAGCAGGTATAGATGGACTTAAATAGAAGAAGTCAACAGCCCTACAGAACCAAACAACTATCATATTTAGTATTAACTGGGGAGGTGCCCCATTAACTGCAGTTTCACCATTTGGTAATGAATTCAATCACCATTTGGTAATGAATTCAAACACTTTCTTAGCTAGCAAAACCAATTAAAGAAGGCAGCATACAGCCCTATACATTAAAAAAATGGACATCTGTATGTATAAGCCCCTTAGTATAGTGGCAATTTATAAAAATAAGAAAGTAAAGAATAGCCTTTTCTAGCTGAGGTATATGAAGCAGAAAGAATAGACACAGGTCAGTGAATCAAGAGCTGGAAGAAACTCAATATTTAACAGGAAAGTGGTATTCAAAGCAGCCATTATTGGGCACTTCCTTTCTCCTCCTTCGAAGAAAAATAACACTTACAAAATCATTATCTTTAGCTGTGATTTTAAATTGAAGGGAAATGCAGCAGTTACTAAAAACTAGTCAAGGTCTGATCCTAATCAGTAAAATACAGTAGTACAAGCACAGACAAGGATGAACATATTCAGTGCTTGGAACGAATTTTTGACAATGGATAATCTTACTAAGTAAGACCACACAACAACTTTTTGTCAATGGGCCTATGGTACCCTATTGACTAAAGAAAGGAGAAAAGGTGTGTTTGAGAAAGTGTAAGGTTTTGTAAAGTGGAAGCTTTGTTATTTTGATAAATATTTGGGAAACCTAAAGAAGGGAGATGGGAAAACTCTTGACTTTAGCTTCCAGGTAACTTTTCCTTCCTCCATATTTCCAAAACTTAAGGAAGTTAAGAGATTGGAATTAGGATCACAAACCCAAGCATATGAGTATATAAGTACTCATACACATATGCAATATGAGTAACATTTCATATTTTGAAATATGGCTCATGGCGTGGATGGGTGTACTCTTTCATGGGTAAAAAGCTAGCTGGATGGCTGTGACCAGAATGGTGGTGGGTGGAGTTAAATCCAGTTGACGGCCAGTTACAACTGGTGTTCCCCAGGGCTCAGTATCGGCAC